CTGAGATTTGTTTCCGTTTTACATGAGAACGGTACAGTCTCGGACCAATACGAAAATAACTCATGTCGGTCAGTGACCGAGACAAATGAGACTGGTCTGAGTTCATATTTTTCAGGCCAGTCCCATGTAAACGAATGAAAAGAAATGTATGGAGGTCGATACAAACTCATACCAGTCTGAGTTCTTTCCGGTCTCATGCAATTACCCCCTTAGACAAAAAAATATTCTGACAGACCTATAGATAGAGAACTCATTCCAGTTCCTGCCAAACACAGGTCAGAACTCCCAGTCAATCACACCAATACCTTTCCAAGCTATCACACCGAAAGAAAGAAAAACCATTGAGCACCTCAAAGCTGGTACATTACATTTTTTACAGGTAGCCTTTGTGACTCCTAAAGGAGCAATTCCTATATTAAGATGTCCCCAACAGATAACCCACCCAGCCCAGGAAAGGTTGATCCACCCCACAGGGCCTATCTGACCCCTACTCTCTTTGAACACTGGTATGGGTTCTTTCATATCCCACAAGAACCAGATATTAAAGTATTAGTAAAAGCCAACTAGTGGTCTATTATCAATGCTGCATTCTGATTGATTGAGCTACTACTGGACTATATGTTATAGCCCACTCGCAGCAAAAAGCGCTGGCATTGAAAACCAAAACAGTGGCGGCTGAATAGCATTTTGCTAGCTAAAGTTGTTTTGTCTCGATATTTTTGACCAACTAGTTGGATTTTACTAAAACAATAATCCCTCGTGGCCTAAGAGTCAATAGCTCATTCAGCCTTCGTCCTCATGGGCTATTGACTCAGAGCCCATTTGGGCTTGAGGAATTGTTAAGAAGTACTGTGAGACCATACCTGTGGTTTTCCATCCTAATCCAAGATGACTAGAAAGTCTAACAGTTTGCAGATGTCATTACAAGGGCAACATTTTCTTCTCAGTTATTTTAAGACCCTAAGTGTTGGTCCAGCCAAGGTTTGAACCGTAATGAACCTCCCGCTTGGCAGACTAACATTCTCCCAATAACCTGCACTGCAGACATTTTCTTTATAGGACACGCATATGTTTTAGCACCTACCCTAAGAGTTAAAAAAAGAACGCAAAGCAACTATATTTAACATCGATTACTCCTGACTGTAATATTTAAATAACCCATAAACTTGAGGTTGTCGGTGCACTCATTTTACCCCCCTCTCTCCATCAATGCTCAGTTTTAAGGGTATTTAAATCTAGTCAAAGCTACAGCAGGGCTGTCAACCTCCCACGTCTTCAAATATTGAGAATTGAAGCGAAAGGGATGATAGGTGACGTCATAATGCACGGCACATGATGTCATTTGTGAAAAAAAATGTGTGAAAAAGATGTTGGAAATTATTGTAACATTTGACCTAATTGGTTTACTTCCCACAAATCACATTATTGCTTATATAATAACGGTATAGCTGAGTTTGTGAGGAATAACGTTTGATGTTTACAGTAAAATAGCTCAAACAACGCAAAATATTTGAAACTTCATAGTCAGAAAGTCGAATCTACAAGAAATGGATAACTTCGGCAATTATTCAGGAGATTTCAGACTCTAATCTGGAGACTGGGAGAAACAGTTCAAAGTTCTGGAGTCTCCCGGATTATCAGGGAGAGTTGACAGCCCTGCTACAGAGAAAGGAGAGAAGCTGGAACAAGGATTTGATATGTCACTGGGGATGGATTGAATTCGGGACCTCACACACCGAAGGCCACGCACTAACCAACTGTGCCACCATTGCTCCTTGTTACTATTTTTACCCTCCCCAATCTCCCTCTGCCATAAAATCAAAGATGGAGGGTACAACAACACAAACATACCGTAAAATTCCAAAAATAAGCCCCGGGGCTTATATTTTTCAAAAGCCCTTTTTGAGGGGCTTATATTCGGAGGGGCTTATCTACGGAGGGAAATTTGCATTTCAAAATCGATTGGGCTAGCCTTGTAGTTGGAAGTAAATTTACCATTTTCATAGTTATACTTTGTATTTGAGGGCAATTTTCCAAGTACAAGCCCCCAGGGGACTTATATTTGGAGGGGCGATCTAACAGAGGGTTTTTTGCATTACCGGATTGGAGGGCTTTATATATTTGGAGGGGCTTATACATGGTGGGGCTTATATATTGGAATTTTACGGTAAACAATAAACAGCTTTGATCCTTCCAAAGTATGCCTGCACTGCAGGCTAATCTCCCAACTGAGCTAACCAAGCAGTAAAGTTGCATAAGGAAAAGCTTAGTGCCTAGTAACCTAGTACTCTCCCCTTCTCTTTTTCAATGGGCTATAAAGTCTTAGTGAAGTAAATGATTCATCAGTTTAGCTGCTGTAAGTTTGCAGTTGACGTCAAGACTGCAATATTGGTTGATGACAACAAAGCGTTTCCTTCCGCTTGCAACTTAACTCATTTTTTTTTAAATTTAAGTCTGCAAAAGAACGGTATTGTTCTGTTGACCTACATGGCTGCCTTATCATGTGGTTGCATTCCCCCACTGGTCCTCCCCCGCACCCCCACCAAAAAAAACACAACAATAACAACTCAACTACCTGAGGTACACCACAGTTAAAAGCTTTTCCACTGCTGTCAAAATATGGATACAATCCAAGTCGTGTATTGTAGAATATACACAAGTTATTCACCGGCTGGGAAGTCCGTATTGGTAGAAACTGTGCCCGAGGTCTTGAGTATCGCCCGAGGGCACAGTTTCGCCCAATACGGACCGACCCAGGCCGGTAAATAACATTCTTATTTTTGTCCTACTGAGATTTAAAAGTTTTAGGAAATTTTCCTTCACTTTCCCACCTATGTGTGGTGAAGTAGGACGCGTTCGTGTTGATGAAGCGCGCGATCGATTGCAAACCAAAACAAAACATTACAACATGATTTTATATTTTTGGCAAGTAGAAAACTAGCGAGGCAAAATTCAAGGAAAAACGGTAGAATCTAGCTTCAAACAGAAAAACTACAAAAAAACTACAAGCACAGCAAAAATGTCCAATAAACGATGCATAAAAGCAAGACTGCAGTACTTACGTATACAGCGCGGTTATAAAGTTGGTGAAGCGACATCACGAGCAAACTTTTTTGCTTTACTTTAGCGGTTTTCCTGGCTGACTTGCTCGATTCTCACCTCAGATGAATAATAAAATGCACTTCTCCCTTGCTAAAGCTAATAATAGTGCAAATTTTGAAAGAAAAATGGTTTGAAAATGACGGTTTTTGCTCATTCACAAACAACAAACGAACATGTGAATGAAGCTGCGAACGATTCCAACCGCCCGGGTTAGCGGACAAGATCGTAAAATAACGCCCGCTCTCGAAACCAATCAGATTGCAGGATTTGGAGGATTCAACCCGCTCGCAAGCTTGGAAAAAACATAAAACGATGTATTCCCCACGTCATTTCTGGTCTTTATTCACCACGATGTCAAATGCACTCAGATCTAAAGAGAATTCCATTTTGGTTGACATTGATCCGTATAGGTGTGATCCATACGGTTATAAATGGTTTGTTAGGTGGAGGGGGTCCCTGCAAACAGCCAGAACTACACAGTACCTCAGACAGAAACGGTGAGAAGAAATAATGTAAAGTCAATGCACTTGTGACGTTAAAAAACGTAAAAATAATTTTGTTGCTCATTTGCCCTCCTTGAGGCGACCTGTACCAGATTAACCAGGGTGCACAGGGGAAGTTAGCTTGACAACATGTGATGTGACGTCACTACAAAGTCGTGGAAACGAGGCTATTGCGTGACAAACTGGAGAGACCAGCGGATATTGGACTTGATAACTTTCATTTTGTTCTGTGTTTAGTCATTACTGTTTGGGTTGTCATAGAATTCAATCGATGTATGCCGCAAAACCCGGGGGGGTGTACTCCCAGGAATTCTTTGTGGGGGTGTGCCGCCTGATTCCCCAAATGCTGGAACGTTTCCGGGCCTTTCGAGAAAACAATAAACTTATCGGGTGTTTCTCGAATCTTCCAGCTTGGTCGCTTCCGATAATTTTCCTGGTAACTTTCCCGTAAAGTTACCGGGAGGCAATTTTTTTGCAAATAAAAACAAAATGGCTGTCGGAGGTGGACTATTTTGCCCCGTACCTCGGACTATTAAGTTCGAACAGTTTTGTTCAGTTTTTTGTTTCTTGTGTTTTTTGTGTATGGTTTAGAAAGACAATCAGTTCAGAGACCACACGACAGTAGTTCACGGACTGTAGACTACATGCAGCTGCGGGAAAAATAGCCACAAATACCTCAGACTCTTTTTTTAATATAAATGGCTAGCATTAACTAAGTGGTACCCTTTAAACGATGAGATAAAAACAAAACTTAGAAAAAGCTTCGGACCCGATAAAGTTTCCCGATATCGGTTCCGATAAGTTAACGGGCCCGTAAATTAGGCAGAAATTACATCATCATTACTTAGATTAGAACGCCAAAAAAAAAAAAAAAGATTACTTAATATTCATTTCTAATTCCATATTACTCTTTTGGAATTGAAACGGCAAATGTGTTCCTACCGACCTCGAAAACCATACTCGATTCCAGATTCTAGACCGAAACGGCGCGCAAAAACCCTACCCTTTGCGTCCTTTGGGGCGGCACATACCCGGATTGCTTATATAAGGGAGTAAGCCCCGGGCCGCAAATGATTTACAGGCGCGGCGCGAGATGGAGACATGGAGACACGCGAAGGGAGAGGGAGCGCCTGCACGAGAGACCTGTGAAAATCGTCTCCTGCCCCTACTCTAATTACCTGGCAGCCAGGCAGCCGCTGCGTGATCTGTAAAAAAATTTGACAGAAAACGATTGACCTCGCTCCTTCTCCTCTCGCGCGTCCCGTTCCTTCTTGCGCCCACTACGTCCAAGATTTGACAGCGTTATGTCCCCCCCGCCCCCCTACCCCCAACTCAGGCGCCCAGTCTTCTGTTACGTAAGGTGTTATTTATAGCCCATAGCTTCCTCTCCGCCACAGTCATCTAGCTTGTGCGCCCAGTCGGCTTAGCGTGCGAAATTACTTTGAATTTCGTTGGGAATTTACTTACACTCTAGGAAAACTATTCTCCTCCATCGTTAAGGTAAGTTGATTTAAACTTGACTGTCTCCGAAAGACGAGATTTCGGATCAAAGAAGCGATTTATTTGTCTTCGTATCTACTTCCTGCTAAAATACAATGCAAGCCTTATTATTTTATCGTTCCCTTATTTGTTTTTGATAAACACATAATTTTTAACCCTTTTTGACTAAGTACCAACAACCAACTTAGGTTTCTTTTAGAATTCGAAATGCCATGCCGTGATCGAGCGATTCGCTTTTTGTAAAGGGAGCATTTGTTTTTCAGACGGAAGCTCGTGTTAATCTGGTTCACTTTCACACTTTCATTGATTTTGAAATTAAATTGCATCCTGCTTTTCCCCCAGTTTCGACTCAGTTGCAATACATCACTGGATTAGCGGGCAGGCATCCTAGTTCTGGATCCCAGTATACTAAAGTACCTGAAAAAGCTTTTGATATATTTGGAACTAACAAGGGTTTGAAAGAACGCTTACTCTAGCTCAATCTCATCGAGAAGTGTTTTGCAAGGATTGTATCATACCCGGAGGACGATACATTGTCTCATCATACATTCAAATCTCTACCATTTCGGGCGTTTCAATAATCATTTTTACTGCATGGATGCATTTATTGAGTTAATCAAAGGCACGTCCCATGTAAGAGAATTCAAGACATTGTTTGATTCAGGATTCCATGGGGTGGATTCCGGATCCAGGTATTGGAGTCCCAAAAAAAACATCTGCAAGAGTTGAAATTCCGAGAGAAATAAACAATGAAGTTATTCAACTTTTTAGCGAGGGGAAGGAGAGGGTGGGGGTCCAATGTAAAAGTATCCCCGGTCTAAAAGACAAGGGACTCTGAATTTCATGACCCTAATTCGTTTACATGCATACATATTTTATTATCTTTCCTTAAAGAAGGCTTTTCGCACCGAATTAAGCAAGCTTTTGTGGTAACCTAACATCATGGCATTAGATTTTAAAAAAAAAATGTTTCTAAACACTACTGCAAATTAAACCCGACCGCAAGAGATCTTACGAGCAGCTCCTACACTACCCACCGCAAATGATCTCCAAATGAAAACAAGAATAAACCCAAGAGGTACAAGTGAAAAAAAATAGTTCTTGAACAGCAATGCAGTGTCTTGCTTAATTAAGCAGTGGTTAACATTTAACACTGAACATAAACATGACTGTAGACAATTCCGATGTAATGTTAAAATAATTCTCAAATCCGATTGATCTCAGTATTGATGGTTTTCACGGTGACGTCATCAGATTGCAAAGTCAAAAAAGCGAGGTTTTACGAATTCTTATTTACACTAGGTTAAAGATTAATAGGAAATAAATCTTTGTACAAGTTTCCAGCCGCGAGGCATGTTTCATTTCGAAAATACAGCAGTTTGAACTTCCGAGTTTTCACAGTGGGTGACACCAAAAGAAGAATGCTATCTCCTTGAAAAAAGTCTCTCCGCTTGATTTTCAGAAGTTTAACCATTTCAAGTATTAGAAGATATGTTTATGCGCAAGTATGCTAGTTCTCGAGTGAAAAGGAGGTGCTTTTATAGAAAAAGTGAACTCCAGATGTTTTTGTTGATTTCCGGCGGCCATATTGGTGGACAGTTTCTGTCCACCAGTATGGCGTCTCCATACAAAGCTCTACAAAGGTGCGTGAAATGTTTCGGCAACTAACTCAGAAACTGTGGGCCACAAAGACCTGAGATTTGGACAAATTGTTTATATATTAGTCTTTTATAACATTTCATTTTCTTGGCTTCTTCCACTGGACGGTTTCAAATGTATTTTTTTGTGCCGTGTTTATTGCGTGACAGTGAAAACGAAGAATTAACTTGAAAGTCCCTGAAACCGATCCCAAATAAAAAATTGCTGCAAATTAACGCTCTTACCGCTTAGGAAGTATTTGCTGATAGGCAAAATAATTTCCTCTCACTCGTTGCTTCTTTACTCATTCCCTGATTTTGTATCTTTAATTCAGTCACTGTCTCCAGCAACAAAGGCGTCTACCGAATTAAACCGAAAACCACTTGAAAACCTGTACAGAGCGATTAATGCATTCAGGGTTCTTTTGTCCTTATTCCTCGGCATAAAATTGAAAGACAAGTTTCAGCGAAACATTAATGCTTCAAAGAAAGGAGGTTCAATTGCCAAAAGAAGCAAGACGGTCGTTTATCTTTTTATTGATTCCATTGTTTTTAAAACGCTAGTGGTTCAATGCAATTGCAAGTTCTAAGTACCATTCATCGCCTGCGATCGCAGACGTTTTCCGGTTGTTACTTCTCTCCACCCGAAAACTGAGAAGCGACGACCGGAAATACATTACTGACTGCACTACTCATATTCCGTACCCAAAATCCATTCCATTCGTCTAACAAGGGGTAATTAGCGGTCTGGAGATCATTTTCGCTACAGTTCCTTTCATGTAGGACCGCTCATCGCCAACCTTCACATTCTTTTCTAAAGTCTTCCAGTCCTAAACAACACCCTGTTCAAGACGCTATAAATAGTGAAATTGTAAGACCCAAGACTCTGAAAACAATACCTCCTCGCCTCGGCAAAATCCCATCTGCGCTAAGGGGGGAGTACACCTTAGCGGAGATGCCAACCCCTGGAGATCTAAACGAGAATCAAATTATTAAGTTCTCATCTGACCGGACACGTTGAAGTTCGATGTCCCCGTGGGAAAAAAAAAACATATCAGTGATTACAAACATTGCTTTGATGCTGTTGCAAAAGCGATTTATAGCGGAGCTCCACGTTGTGGGCGGAGCCCCATAGCTAAGGTAATCTACCCATCCCAGAAAATTTGGTAATCACGTGACCGTACACCGAACGAACGAACGACCGTCCGTCTGCACCACAGGGAAACCAATGTTTACTCTCACACTTTCTGGCCAGTTTACGAGCCCAGGAGAAAACTAATTGCACATCAATGTTGTGATCAATTGACAGCTGTCAAAACAGGGTATCCGCTGACCAGTATCACCTGACCGTACCGCGCGCTCAAGTGTCGACCCATGGCGGTCGAGTATTTTTTTTAAGTTATGCGTTGACAAACTACTAGTTTCAAATGATCGCAGGCTCAAGTTTATTTTTTCCAATGATTCATATGAAATATGTGTTGATGTCACTATGGCCCCGCACTATTAAGATTTTGATTTCAAACTGTCCTCGGACGAGTTGGTCACGCTCTACGTCCAATTTTTATCCTCTGATTGGTCAAAATTTGACAGGTGAGTTCATGCGGAAAATTTATGCAGCATCTTGAAAGTTGTTTACTTTTACAGCTTGCGTTGAAGCTTACAGAGTTTTGTGTCATGTAATGTTTTTTACTGTCTTTTTCCACTGGATGTTCAAAATGAAATACAGCTGCTATCAAGAGTTTTCTGTTACTCATGGCTGGTTTGTTTATTGGGTTTTTGATTTAGAAATGCGTCGCTTGTCGAAATTCGTTAATCCGATTTCGGATGGCATCGTTTTCGTTTTTCACCTTGCTTATATGCGTAAGAGGGTTTAAAAGTCTCAAGCAACTGTGGCATTCCTTGATAGCTTTCAGGAACTGAATCTAGATTGGTAAGCCTGAGTAATTATTGTATTTGGTGTTTGTTTTTGTGATATCTAATTTCATGAAGTCGAGCACAGTTTATGGGGCAAGTTTATGCACGTTTGTAAGATTGAGTCAATGATCTGACCTAGTATCAGGTTTGATATAGGCTTACAGAACTGTAAAAGGCCTTCAGATATATTTTCTCAGCGCAAATCGAAAGAAAACGTTCCGAAGAATATTTAGTTATAAATTTGGCTGTAGAAAGAAAACTTTGAGCGATTTTCTTGCTTCGAGGAGTTCATCTTTGAAAAAACCAAACACCGGGAGGCCGGCTTAAGTAAAACATAATTAACTTAGCTTTAAGCCTGGTTTCCATATGATCGTCCGGATCGTTCCGATCGTCCCAGTCGTTTCAAAATATTTCGAGACGATCCGGACGACTGGGGCGATTGGTAGTTTCCATATGATCGTTTCGATCGCCTCAAAGGCAATAGACGCGGGGTCGTCAGCGATGTCTCTGGGTCAGACAATAGAATTTTTACGCGTGTTTTGCAAACAAGCCACATAAATGGGTGATTTTTATTCGTAAAGCGAACCTCGTACCATATCTGCTTCTTCTCTTGATTTTGCTGCATTGAGAAGCTAGAAGAGTTCCCCGAAGACATAGTATCTCTTCTAAAACTTGATGTCACGGACTGTCTCTAATTTCAAATAACCCACATACTCGCTGCGAACATTTGTGTATTAATTTTTCGGCTTCAGCGCCATCCCGGCCGCATTTATTCTCGATTACTGGAATAAAAGTGATGACTTCTGGGATAGCCTTCGATCGTCCCGATCGTCTCAGTCGTCTGAGAGCATTTTCATATGATCGCTTCAAAATTTACATGATCGTCCCGATCGTCCCGATCGTCCGGATAGAACTCAATTCTATCCAAGCGATTGAGGTCGTCTCAGTCGTCCGGGTCGTTTGCGATCGTCTGGGTGGCGTTTCCATATGATCGTCCCGATCGTCTGAACATTTTTTGAGATGACTGGGACGATCCGGACGATCCGGACGATCATATGGAAACCAGGCTTTAAGCTATTTAAGACTCAGGATTTTTAGGGACACTTTAATAGCTGTCTTCGTGAATTATATTTCTTTTATTGATTGTTAGTAGTCTCTCTTGCAATTTTAATCGCTGTACGTGCGGTTTGTTTTCATCGTTCATGAACATCGCTTGCAGGAGTACTCAAAAATGTCGCGCGTATCAAACGCTTTATAAGATTACACATCGTTATAACTGAAACCAATAAATAACAAAAAAAATAATAATAAATTCGTTATTATGTTGAAGCGTAACTCTATTAAAGTTCATTCAAACACTCGACCACACTGACAGCTCGCACTAGGAATGAGAACCCGCTGGCCGTATGGGTGATTTTGGAAATTTTTTGAACGGCTTCGCTAAAAGCTCACGATTGATCGCCCTGAATATTGACTACGTGCAATTTGTCTTGAAAAATTGTGAAATACCGCACTCTGCCCGAGGTCTGTATGATAAATAGTACTGTTTCACCTTAGATGTGTTTTATAAAAAGTATAAAAGGTTGGTTTACACAGCCCCAGATTTGCTGGCAAGAATTTGTAAAGTAAACCTGTCGAAAGCAAAAAAAATTCGGCCTGATTTGTTTTCCAGGAATTTGTTTTCAAGGCCTAATCTACTGTGATCAAGAGCCATTGTGACTCTTGAATGTGATCGAAGATGTTTGCTATTTTTTGGGTGTACATATAAGTCTGTTAACTCGATGTAAGATGTTTCAATCTAAAATAGCTTAGCCTTTCCCTCAAAAGTCACACAAATGTGCCCTTAAGTTAACCGATTTGTAGATTACAAGTTTATTGTTTAATTTAAATTACAAATTTGTTAATGGGAGCTTCGCTTTTGGCCCTGGATAAATCTATGTTGAATAAACAATTGTTCGCGCCCTCGGCTGTCTAAACTTGACAGGCGTTTGTCACTTTTCTAATCTGCGGCAAGTTTGCGGTGACAGTTTTCATGCTTTGCAGAGTCCAGGGGTTTCCGAGGTGGAAATGAATATGAGAGATCGTTGCAAGCAACCTCGTTCCCAGGGTTCTCTTCTACCCGCCCTACGGAGCGAGAGAGAGAGAGAGACCCTGTAAGACACTGGTCACGTGTCTCCCAGAATCTGGGAGATTACAAGCAAACGATTTGCGGCAGGGACAGACAAGTGTGGGATTTGTCTCTACAGAGCATATACAAGGTAGTATTCATACCGAAAGGCACTAGATTTGAATTGCCGTTTCTATTTTGTGGAGGCCACTTTAGAAAACAAATGTATAGTATCTGTATGTGTTTTCAAGACTACTACCAGTGCAGGTTATGTTGTCTGTTTTGTCTCTGTTTATGTTACTTTATTTCCTGTTGTCTTCCATTTCGCGTTGATGTATAATTATTTTTATCTTTGATCTTTTTACCACTTTTCTATTTCCGCATCATAGCAAAGGTTAGGGAGTGAAAAATGCTGACATTTTAGGCCATAGCTTTCCGTGAAGCCACTAGATCTAAAATATGACTTTGATCGTAAATGTATTAACTCAATTTAACTGCCATGTTTTGTCCCGGGGGTTTGTCACGCCGATCCGCTAAGACCGCAAATAGTGTATTTGGCCCGATTACCAGCCCGCTGTCTGACAAACATTGAAACTTTTGGTATAGAAGTTCGACAAACAGGGATTTTACCTTCAAAAAAAAAAAATCGCTTGTGTATAACTCAATATCGTAGATTTTTAGCGATTGGTGTTATCGGTTAAACAGGCGACTGACGCTAGCTTTTGATTCCTTCTCTGGTAAGTCTCTGGTTTTTCTGATAGTTTTGTTAGGCAGAAATTTCCCTTAGTTTCAGTTATAGCTGTTGTAGGGTTAGCAAATCTGTCTTGCTGTTGCGATCACTTCGTGAACGTTGCGAATAAACGAGACAAAAAAAAAATGTGAGACAAAGGACTCCTCCCTCAGAACTAATTTTGTTCTGGAGACACGTGACCAGCGTTTTCCAGGGTGTGTGTGTGTCTCTCTCTCTCTCTCTCTCTCTCTCTAGAGGAAAAGTAGGGCACTTTTGTTACTTCTTTCCCTTTTGATAATAGCATGGTCAATTTAAAGTGGTAACTCGTGAAACTTAAACTATACACAGTTCACTTAAAGTAACATACGCATGTAAAAAGACAAATTCGAGCGTTAAAACAGAAGAGAAAAAGCTGCAAAGATGTCACAAAAAGGTTACAAAAGGGCCCTACATCGTGGTAGGTGCTTTTTAAAATGCTTTTCACACCTTTTTTGCATTTAATTGTAGCTATTACTTTACCATTTATACTCCATACGATTCCCTCGCTGACCACAACACTTTAAACTGGAGATATCGAGGCCGGGAAAAAAAACGCCGTGAACATGTTTGACTTTTCATGTCCATGAAAGGAATCACGATTCGGAAAAAGCCCATTTTTGAATGGAAAGTTTCAAAACGTCAGTGTGACCTTTTTGAACCAATCAGCAACCGCAAAATTGTGGTGGGAGTTTAGTTAAGTCTATTGTTAATCTAATAAGTGAAACACAAAGTGAAATGGTCGTTTCCTTATTTTTTGGTGATTTTTTAAAGTTACTGATATCTCGAAAGTGGCCCCGTTACGAAAGTTCCCTTTTTGCTAGAAGTTCCAGCAAGCAATTTTACCGTAATTTGTAAGAGATAAAAATCAAAAAAGCAATCAATCTAAACACCACTAAAGTAGAAGTAAGTGGGCGAAAATACAGGTCCTTCCTTTAAAAAGTAAGGCGCTGGGCCAGCGGAAAGGTGTTCTAACCCCTTTTACGCATTTTGCGCTATTGGGTATACGGGTATATTGTTTGCGCAATTACAAGTAAATGCGTGAGTCCTTTCCATCGATGAATTATGAAGTTATTAAGCATGATGGAAATAATTTTAATCAAGAAAAAAATCATGTGTGGTCACTGGTGTCAAACATGCACAATGGAAAGTTATTCAATTTCAGCGCTTCTCTAAAGGCCCCGCCTTTATTGCGTAGTCAAATAGACTACAGGTTAAGGATCATTAAGGCTAGGCTCCAGAACCATTTGAGCTTCTACTTTAAGCCGCATGAATCTATCAAACGGGACAACGGTGGACAACGAGTTCTTTTATTTCAACGCAGGACACGGCATTGAGGGCACAGCGATAAGCAAGACAAAGTAGTACACAGCATTCCCGTAAGTCTTCATCGTCGTTGACAACGCTCATCATGGCCTATTCCGTTCATCTCGCAGATGGTCGCACTTACCAGAAATCTCTTTGTTTTTCTTAACTCTGCTTTGTAGAGAAATTTTCAAAATGAAATTTAATGTAGGTGAGAACAGACGAATTTCCAGATCGGCTTCGCTTTAGACAAGAAGGGGGTTGGTTCCAAAATGCTAACCAATTCTTAATGGAAGATATGACTAAAAGATACTTGCAGTGAATAAGCCTTTAGACTTCTTACTTATGATGAAATATTATTGAGTATGCGACACGACTTAGTCGATCGCAGAGCTAAATTTTACCACTCATATTTGCCTTTTCCAACAAAAAGCGACGGCAGTAACGGATCACGCACAGTGAAGAAAATTGAGCATGAGGGTTTATCGGTACTCTGTACGTCAGGTAAGGGTGAGTCACTTTTTTATAGGTTTTCTTTTGGTAAAAACAAGTACCATTTCAATGATCAACTAAAATTTCTAGAGAGGACAACACTTATTTTCTTCTCTCCACATTGGTACGCGGCTGCTGACACTAAAATAGGCAAAACGGTAGATTCGAATTCATTGCAATGTTTAATTTCAGCTGTGTAACAACAACAAAGGCTAATAAAACTTTACAACGAGAACACCCGTTGGTAAAGATTACGAGTACAAATATGGTAGATGCATATGCAACATCGCACGCCCCTTGGATTTTTGCTGTTGTAAAGTATAAAAATAACAACCAAATGCGCGGAACATCACATCATCATCATCATCACTATCACATCACTTTTTATTGGGATCAGGGTAGAAAGCACTGCGAGTGGAAAATCAAATAGACGGTAGCGAAAATAAATCTCCGCCGCCTTGATTATGAATTAAAGTTATTCACTCCTCAAACTGACCTGTGTAGAACTGATTTGCCTAGTGTGAAAATGGATCATGGGATACATACAGCAATGTAGGCTATGCAGTGTGCTCACAGTCAGACAGCGGTGTCTACCAATTCGCACAGCTTCGTCGATCAACACGTGCTTTTTGCATCGCCGATCTTACAGTCTGATTAGTTTCGTAATAAATTTAAAGTACGTCCAGTGACGATTTTTTAAGGTAAGTTTGGTTTAATTTGTTTTTCACTCCCATAAAATGTAAAGAAGATATCTGCACATCACAAAATGGCATCAACGCCAGTGAGCATATTATTGTATTAAAGACTTTATAAGCTTTACATGTACGCATACAACGGGAGAGATTTAAAAGAAAGCATGTTTCAGGAAGCTGCGTACTGTCATGCCCGAAAAACCGCAACAAAAAATAAGCCATGATCCTGAGAAAGAAAGCCAAGATATTGAATCATGCTCAAAGATCTCCGCCGAGGAGGAGTGTCAGTCCACGACGTCAAAAGTAACCTGGACGGCTGAAAGGGAAGCTGTCTTGCGGACTGTCTTTCAAGAGGAGATTAACCAAAAGGAGGTCACCATGGAGGCTGTGAGGTCAAAGATATCTAATCATGCTGAACTCAAGGACGAAGATCCTAAAAGGGTACTTGACAAAGTACGCTCACAGTGGAGGTATGCAAAACAATCTTCTACTGAAATTGTGAGTCTCCCTTCGGAGCAGGAAACGTTACAAGAACGTGTCCAGAGATCACTGGAAGAGGACGCAAACAGTGACATAATTCCACCAACAGTAACAAGCAGCGTAAAGAATATGTTTTCCTCTTCTGACAAGGAAAACATACAGGAAGTTTTTCGTGACATGATTGAGAAAAATGCCCCAATATGTAAAACCACAATTAAGGAGCTTCTTCAAAAGGAAAGTTGGGGTAGAAGTATCTTAAAGAAAGCCTCCTTAGACACTGTACTTAATCGAGTAAAATATGAAAGACGTCTTTACCAAAATTCAAAAAACGTCTAAAGTCAATTGACAGTATGATTGTCAATAATTCAGTGGAAATGAACACATCAAATGAACATCTCTCCTAACCCATGCTTTAATCTGCGAAAACCAGTGTAGATATAATTTCTGTATACCCAGGGCTGGTGAGGGGGAAATGAGCTTATTTGAGCTTGCATTATGACGGTGCAGGTGTATTTACTTTATTCCTGTTAAAACAGCGATTTTAATGAGTAGGAATAAATGTTACCAAAGTTTCTCACTTTGTTACAAAAGAGCCCGATCTGGGTTTTTGGGAGTAGCGTACACACATACAGAACAAACTAACGGTCTTTCTTAGGGTGTTTAGTCACATAAACAAGTTTAATTTTGATTTCGACAATATTACCAACCTACTCAAATCCGTTGGCTTTGAATAGGAACATTTTAAATATTGTACCGCTAACGTTCGGGACAGCGTGGAAACCATTTAGAGGGGTCTTATCGTGGTTTATCTTCAGCCCGCTTTCAAGTGCACCTTTTTATTGATTTACAAAGAACCGGCTCTTCAATTTATTAAAAAACACGAATAACCTGTTAGAAACAATGGTGATAGCACACAGGGTTTACTGTTACTCTGGTTATTGTTCTAGTTTTAGGAGTTGAAATCATGCGTGGATCCATTTGCAGCGTACGCGTACGACTATCGCATTTGTCCGTTGAAGTATTTTTTGGTTGTTGTTCTTTTTATGCTTTACAACAACAAAAAAAAAACCGTAAGGGGCGGGCGATGTTACAAATGAATGACCATATGTGTACCGGCGTAATGTTTACTAACGAGCGTTTTTTAATATAGGAAAGGTCTCGTTGTAAACGTTTTTTAAGCTCTTTTGAACTCTTGAACTTGAGTTATTTTTAAACTTTTATTAGTCTTTGTTGTTGTTACAGTTAATTTGATCCAAATACACTCTTTTTTATATAAGAATGTTGTTTTTCCGGCACGGGCTGAATGTTTTTATTTTACTGTCTATTTAAGGTTGAAAATATTCTTGAACTATTCTTAAATTATAGCTTATGGTATTCCCATTTTAGAATGTATTGAGGTTTCAATTACCAGTGTTCTTTGTTTAGATCTGTTTAAAATTGATAATTTTATACGGTTAAGTTAAAGACATATGACTGTACTGTACAGGTATTTACAGATTTTTCAACATCAAATTTAGTCCTTTTCAAATTCTCAGCCTGGGGTTTATTCTTAAAATTTCGCAATTTTGCCTTGATACTCTCATAAAACATATTCTTATAGGATAAAAAAAAGAGTGTAAAGGAGAATGTTAATTTAGGAGAAGTCTTGAATTTGGGTTTTTGTAGACTTATATTAGTCGTTGTTATTGTTACACTTAATCTAGTCTGATCCTATTAATGGGAAATGCTCATGTGAAGCCTTGAACTTTTATTAGCCTTTGTTGTTACACAGGTGAAATTAAACAATGACATTACGATGAATTCGCCCAAATCTATCATCAGCCTATTTTCAAGTGTACAGAACGACATCACAATATAAGCTTTTCAAGCTTCGCGCGCTCTAAGTCAAGTCATTGTTTATTATATAAAGACAGTAGTCGCCACACTAAGGTCAGTAAATAATTATCAGCCATTTGGGAATTTCGTTTTCCAAGTGAACCCAACCCATGTTTCAAATTCCGCAAAAATGGCGATATATTTACTGTATACCCAGGTTTGGTGGGCGGAAAGAAGAAGGATGCCGGAATTTTCTCATTGTTAGTGAAAGTAAGGTACAAAACCGACTACTCTGGAGTAAGAAGGGAGAAGTTAGAGCTAACTTTTTTTTTGAACGGGCCGGCGTTGCGCTCCATACAGTTCCATGTAACATATTCTACCGCTGATCCTAGTTTTTAAAGTAACTTCTTTTTTGAACTGGCCGGCGGCGCGCCCCATACAGTTCCATATACGATATTCTGCTCGTACTAGCTTGAACTTAATTTTAAAATGACAACTTTTATTTAACTTGCATGTCGTAAGAAAGGCTATTAACTTTCGTAGGACGGCGCACCGGCGGACATTTCAAAAGCGACTCAAACATATTGCCAGAAGAATGTATCAATGTAAGGCTACATAAGGCTATATAGAAAACCAGCCTTTTTAGACTATAAAAACATCAATTGAAAAAAGTCGAAAAATTGACATTTTCCCAAAGAGATTAGTCCATGGTTTTGGTAAAAATTATGAATTTCTTCTTCTTTTCTTTTTAGGCCAAATAGGCTAAGAAAAAGTGTTTCGTATTGTTCTAGATAGAAAACCAGTCTTTTTAGACTATAGAAACATCCATTTAAAAAAGTGGAAAAATTGACCGTTTTCCAAAGGGGTTAGTCCATCGTTTTGGTCAAAGTTTTGAAATTTCTTCGTCTTTCTTTTAAGGCGGAATAGGCTAAGAAAAGGTGTTTCGTATCGCTCTAGATAGAAAACCAGCCTTTTTAGATTATAAAAACATCAAGATGTTCGGATATGTACGGCCATGCACGGCTATGCACGGCTATGTACGGCCATGCACGGCTACGTCAGCCATGTACGGTCATGCACGGCCATGTACGGCTATGTACGGCCACGCAAAGGCTATATAGGGCTATGCACGACTATATACAACAATGCAAAGCTATCCACGGCCATGCACGACTATGCACGGTTATGTACGTCTATGTATGGATATGCACGGCTATGAACGCGGCTAAGTACGGCCATGAACGGCCATGTACGGCTATGTTCGGCGCGCCTCATATTGCCCCTTCCTGTTACATGCAACATATTCTACTTGTGATTACTAGCTTGAACTTCATTTTACACAGGTAAAATAAATCAATCACATCACGATAAATCAGTATCTATCATTATGCCCATTTTTTTAAAGTGCACGATCCGAGAGCGAAATATTAGCATTTAAGCTTCGGGCGCTCTGAGTCAAGTCATTGTTTATGTAAAGAAAGCAGTCGCTAAGCTAAACTCAGCAAAAGAAAAAAAAACACAGGCACACAGTTACGCGTCTAATTCTTTTTTATTAGCCATTTGGCAATTTTGATTTCAAAGTGAACCCATGCAACGGCATGTTTTCGTTTTCAGTTTGCAAAAATCATAATACATTCTTACTGTATATCCAGGTGATAATATTTACTTTATTCTTGGCACATAGTGAGGGAATGACGAAAAAAAGATGATTTGAATGAATAGAAATGGGTGTTACCAAAGTTCCTCATTTTGTTACAAAAGTGCCTGATCTGTTACGAAAGTGCCCGATTTGTTACGAAAGTGCCCTACTGCCTGTTACGAAAGTGCCCTATCAGAGTTACAATAGTTCCCTACCGTTACAAAAGTTCCCTTCTTCGTTACTAAAGTGCCCGAGGTGTGTTACAAAAGTTCCCTTTTTACGTTACAAAAGTGCCCACTCCTCTGGCTCTCTCTCTCTCTCTCTCTCTCTCTCTCTCTCTCTCTCTCTCTCTCTCTCTCGCTCCGTAGGGCGGGTAGAAGAGAACCCTGGGAACGAGGTTGCGTTCCAAGCTCTCCTTTCCTCCGCCCCTTGCTCGCGCGTTCTCGCGAGCCTCGCCCAAATAGGAGAGCTTGCTCGCAGGCTAGAGAAAAACTAACATGGCGGTCCTAACTCTGCCAAGGCCAGGCTACATACGCATAATTGCATAATTAAGTTAGTGCGCGAAACGATGCGAATACATTACAGCACTGACAAAATATTGTTTGTTCATAGCGCAATGATTACACCCTGTGGGGTCTGTACACAGGTTACGCAAATTAAGCTTCTTTCTACTATCCGCTGCTCTCGGCTAACACCCCGATTCTTTCACCTGTTTCGAATTTTTGAAAGGTATTCTTTCTCATGAGATAGAATGTATAGTAAATGCCAACTCCAGGAAACCATAGTGCAAGATTCTAAATTGAACGTTGTATTTCCGTGTAGGAAACATGTCGAGATTAGCTGGCTCAGCAATTTCACAGGGACCACTTGTTGGCCGAATCGATCGCTGGTCAGAGTGGAGACCAACAAATAAGGAACCACTCTGGCTCCTTCTCTCAGGTGCCACAGATCCGCCAAAAGAAATTGGAATTTCTAAGAGAAGAACTCGGGATGTACAAGGGGATAGAAATGGCGCATTTCTTGCTGGCGTGACTCGTGATTTAGTCAACATGGAAGACGTGGTTGGTACAAAGCTGTTCAACACTGTTAAAGATCTTTATTTAACCAAGAAGGCAGCTCTAGGACATATCATGAGGCTCTTTGAAAAATGCCAGCACACAAGGGCCCATCCTATGTTGTACTATACAGGGCATGGTGAGATTGGCACTGGAAACTGGTGCTTTGCGAATGGGACAATCAGTATCCAAGAAATATTTGACAAGGTGCCTGTAGGCTGCATCTACCCGATGATCTTCAGTGATGCCTGTTACAGTGGCCACTGGGCAAATTTCTGTCTCAACAAAGGTATTCCCGGTTTCCACTGCCTCGCTGCATGTCCGGAGTATTCAACAGCTCTTGATACCAAAGGTGTGTATGTTCAACTTACTTTTCAGTGGTTACCACTAACACGCGCCCTCTGTCCGTTGAAACCTGAGTTTTCGTGGACGTCAATCAACTGTTTCCATGTTTCTCTCATGCGCTCTGACAGAGAAGGTTCCCTCATCGCTGAATTGAAAAGGGCGAAGAATAATTTCGAATGACGACAGCGTTTTTGATTATTACATTTATTTAAGATGAGGGATTACATTGTTAAAACAACGAGGTCTCTGCGAGCGGAGTGAAATAGCCGAAACACTCTCTATAGCTCACGTAAAGGTGTTAAGGTTGTTTATTTATTTATTTGATTGTATGAAAACACACGAGCCAAGGACGAATTCCCAAGGAGTATAAATTCAAGAAACGAAAGATCTCACACCGAGAAGGGAAAATCCAAATCTAGCAAGAAAAATTAATCGCCTTTATCTGACGCCGTGCAGTATTTTAGTGGTCCCTAGAAGCATTTCAGCGCGTCCAAATTTAAAATGACGCAAATCGTAGAACATTTATTCAGTAATCTGAGTCCGTCAAGACTCCGTGAAGTTTCAAACTGGTGTCATAAACTTGAGTGAGCGGCAGCGAAAAGATGCCTGATTAAAGCTTACATAACCATTTAAATGGTTAGAAAAACGTTAGTTTTTTCGAGGTCCGATAAACAACAGGATTTCGCATGCAATAGCCTACAAACTGATTGACACATAGTACACAAATTATCACCTTCCTATCTGCAAAAACCAGCCTATAGTTCAAGGCCATTAGAGCCCGATGAACTAGACCTACATCCAATTTTCATGAGTCGAGAGTTGCTTTTCCAAGGTACAATCAAATAACCTAAACGCCGAAGAAATTGTTTTTTAAATTCTATTTTTATTATTTTAATATTTTATTATTGTTATTACTATTATTTTTTTTATGGCCAGCACAGAATATCTTCGAAAATATTTTGGCGAATGAGCTCAACCAGGCGACCACATACCTGAGTTCTGCCTGTCGACACCATGTGAAACTCACACACTTTCGCGGCACTGATAAGACTATCCACAATTACGCATAATCTTCTTATGTTTAACACAAGAGAAATATCATCGAACAACTCGGAAAAACTCAGCCTATTGGCAGATAAACACCTCTGAACTATTCTCTTACACTCGTCTTATTCAAGTTCCCGGATGTACAGTCACATGGTCGGCAGACCAGCCTAGACCCTGTTTTCACACCAGAAAAAAAGCTACGTCTTGGCCTGGGTCATAGTTCACCTGCAATTTTGGTCTCACCTAATTCAATTCACTTCTAAGAGCCTTTTCCCGAGGCCAAAGACTTATTGTCTGCTTAGAAAATATGGTACCTCTCTCGGTTTCAGCCCGGATCAGGGTGATTGATCCTTCTAGCCAAATGAAACGAGAATACATATATCTTATTGGACGGTTTAGTTTGTAGTATCGTGGGATATTTTTACGCGTCACGCTGTATTTTGGCGAGCCCATAGGGCGAGTCAAAATACAAGAAAGGAGTAAAAATGTTCCACGATACTACACACTAAACCGTCCAATAAGAAATTTATTATTCTGTTGTGTCTTGAACTCATAAAGTGTCCTACGTTCTATCGTTTTAATAATGTCATTGTTGTTCAGGCGACTTTACTCTAGAAACTCGGTTTGATTTAAGCGTACAATTTGGCTCCTGTTACGTTTTTTTTTCCTTCGGAAAACCATGCATTTTCTGCAATGTGCGACGTTTGTAGACTAAAACCGGTCAAACCGGTCTTCTGGAGTACAAATACCGTGAGATATTTGTACTCGTTTTTAGCGTTATTTGTACTCTAGCTACTGAGTGAAGTTGAATTAATCGCAGTCTAGCTGGCAAGTTTGCTCAAGAAATGAAAAGAAATGTAAGAGATACTTAAATTTGGCCTTCAGAATGACCACCGTATTCAAATCTCGCATGCACACATTTCGTTGTTCAGTCAGGTGGCCACGTAGCCGAACATACGGATCGGGAGGCTTTCCTTGTTCATAAACTCTTTCTAACTGATTTATTTTCCTTATTACCACACTCTGTTTAATTCAAGATTGACCTTCAAACTTTGCCGGTAAGATCTAGTCCATTAAAAATTCAATGTTTGAATTGAAGATTGTTTTGAATTGGTAATTCTTCGCTGAAGAATGCGATATAGGCGAATCCTTGTTTACAGTTTTTGCCTCATTTTATTAACATAAGTCAATTATCTGATGAAGCAAATAAAATGAAATTTCTGAATATTGAAAGAGCATAAAAATTTCAATTATCTCTGAAAATTTAAGCCGGATATACCAAATATGGAGAAATTCTCTTTGAAAAAACCCTAAAATTTACAAAGAATGTGTCAGCCCATTGAAGTTTTGCCACCCAGTAATTTTGCAGTTTTTAATTGCTGCTACATGTATTTTCGTTGTTACTGATTACAGAGAGCTGAAACTTGCATAAACTGCATACATTAACAAGCTCTTTTAATTTTTGATCCTAATTGGTGTACATGTATACTGCTACTGTAACAACTTCTATGGGTTTAAACTCGTATGCTAATGAGCAAAAATATAAACAAGGACGTCACGATGAATCCACCCGTTGAAATTATCATCTCAATATCGAAATAATTAAGTGCAAATTTTATTCTTCCCAGAGACGCTTCACCTGGTTTAACTGTCATTTTTTTTTTTTTTTTTTTTATTCACCGCGATCAGACTTGCGTGGTGTTTCGGTAGAGTGGGTTCACATTACCTAAACAAATGGTAATCGAGCCTACTTCTCAACAGTTTTCCTCTTCATTTACCCCACGTATAGAGGGAAAAAAAAATCCTGTAATAACGCCAATTATTTTTTTTCTAATCCTTGATTACTTACATATCTATAAAATGTGAGACAACTGTCGCAGTAACTGGAACAACCGTCCAGTCTCAAAGCGACATACTAAAGTTTCGTTTAAGTAACCTTGCTTATATTCTATGTGCTTCTTGTCTTATTATGTCTACTGACATCCAGCAATTTCCAAATTCTTGGTAGATGAAGGAGGTGATCTAACGCTGTACATGACAGGAAAGAAACCACGCCCAAGAACAGAGCCCATGTATAGTGGGGGAAATTTACATGACTTCAACATCACCAGTGGTTACGATACAGTTGATTTCAGCGATTTCATCAGTAGCAATCTTTCTAATAGTCACAACATTTTGATTTCTTGTACCATACATGATGGCACCTTCTCAGGAGTTTTTGCGAGTTCAAAACTTCACAATCCAAGACCTGCGATGACTTGGGGATTTGCGAAGGACTTCGATGAGTTTCTTGAACTCGCTAGAGAGGAATGGAAACCAGTGAATGGTAAGTCAAGGGGGATATATTCCCTCACATGTGATAAGAACTTTGGGTTCGGGGTGTTGTTCATGGAAGGCTATGGCAGGGCTCAGACCATTCTAACAAGCACGGCGCATATACAGGAGGAATGGGATGATGATCTTATGATAACTTCATGTGCTGCCCTAGATTCAAAATTTTACATTATCATGACAAAGGGCACTGGGGAGTACGATGGAAAGGCGCAGCAGTGGTTCACCCTTGATTCGTGGAAAGAAGCGAATGATGAAATACAGGAGGGATACCGAGACGGATATGCTCTCACTGGCATATCTTATTCCATTGAGCTGAAGCAGTATTTTGTTGTGATGACAGCCTCAAAGAGGAAACAGTGCTACAGGTGGTTTCGCACGACTGAAGGAAAAGCCATGGATGATTGGGAAAAGAAGAAATATGATCAGGGATTCCATACTACTATCATTTTCAACGATCCAACCGACAAGAAAACTTTAGTTGTGATGACTAAGGATGAAAATAGATTGGGTCATACACGTTGGAGTAATGTCAAGTTAAGGTAGTTTCTTTTAGTCTAATCCAATGGTGAATGAAATTGAAAACTAAATGAAGCATTGCAATGTTTTTCATTTTTATTATTTTCAAGCAGAGTTGATTTCGATATTGAATCCAATAGTTGCTGTTTGAAGAAGGATAGTTTCTTTCTTAAAGCTAACAAGCAAAATAAAGAAGATATAGTGCTGTCATTTATATTGTTTGTGCCCGCTTTTATCACCGGAGACTTGTTTTTCTAACCGAACGATGGGCGCAAATCATTTCGAGGATTCTTTTATAGCTTTTATTTTTTTATTTACTTTTTTCTGTCTTTACCGTGAAAATCTCGGTCTTTTTTTGTTTCTTGATATTCTTTTTGACTGATGATAAGATCCAGATTACTAAAATTCGGCTACTCCTTTTGTCCGGCCTCTGAACTCCTTGTTTTGAAGTGGTGACTTTGCTGTCCTGATTTAAAGTTGCAGATTGCGCTCAGGCACATTCAGACGTACAACTAGTTTTCACAATTTTGTTTCAATTTAAATGTAGTAATTCTTGTTAACACTACTGAACCAGATGTTTAAATTTTCGGTTTCGTTCGCTACCGAGGTAGGAAAAAACAGACCATCGCAAGGATGTTTTAATAGAGGTCTTCGCCTCACAAAAGACTCAAAGAGAGAAACCGAACACCTTTCTCCTCCAACAGATAACGCACGTGACTCGAAATCCCTGTTGTTATCACAAAAAAATTTGTATCCTTGTTCAATTAAATACAACAAACCTGAAAAGTTGTAGCTGTCATGGCTTGCGTGTGGTTACCACCGTTTTTGTTCTTATTTTTTTACTTTAGCATAGTCTGTTATAAGCAGCTTGTTTTTTAGTTTCTCTGACTCATTTTCCTTGATTTTGTTGACAGTATTTTTCTCTTAGTACCGCATTTTCAATACATTTAACCAGAAAGACGTACTTTTTACTGTGTTCGGGTGTTTAAAATATTTTAACTTTTATATTGTTGTTTTGCGTACAAAATTAAATCGTCGTTTGCTGAAAAAAATGGCCATTTTCTTAAATTTTGTTGTTAAAACAGCTCTAATCTGATTGGTTCTTGGTGGTTTCTTTTCTGTTATCAGCCAATCAGAAACCATTGGTAATTTGCACTCGTGTTGCAAGTTTGCACTCGTGTTACAGAAGAACTGCACTCCTTTCTCAGCCAATCAGAATTGAGTAATTTTCTCGTGTATAGTATTAGTCTAGTTAACTCTTTTCTTTGACTTCATTGTCCCTAATTAGCTTGCATTGGATAAATAAAACGATACTTAAATAATCAAAATTTGATATGACTGATCGTACAGTCCGTTTGCTGTGCTCGTACACTAAAAGCATGCATCCCAACAACTGGGTGAGATAAAAACCCAAGTTTGCGTTTCTGAGGAATCATTGATTTCTCTTATGCATGACGCAAGTCGCCAAGATTCTCAATCACAAACAGAATCTAATGAGCGCACGTTCGCCGAAGTTACAGGAAACAACGTTGACTTGCAGACTCTCCAAAGGACTGCAACTGAAGAAATCATAGCGGAGGCAAGGGATCAGACTTTCACCGTGAATACGCACAACAGATTTGCAGTACTTGACCCTCAGTTTCCAGAGAGACAAACACTAGATTTTTAGCGTTTTGGCTGAGTTTGCGCTTTGGGAGTTGTCTATTGTTTCTAGTCTGTCATTATACCGCATTCTTGTTCAGCACGCGTGCAATGACCACGCTTGGCTGACTTCCGAATGCTCACCGAGATATGATAATTTTGGTACGGTGAAAATAGAAGGGATTCCCGTCGCGTAACGTGTAGACATGAACACCCTCAGTGCTTTGTATACTGCAGGAGGTACAAGGGCTTTGCTAACAATTTTAACATTACTTCTAAGCAAGACGAGCAAGAAAGAGTCTAGAGCGAAACCAAGAGTCACAAAAAAACTGACAGTGCTTACAAGTGTAGTTTATTTTTTCACTACTAGATAAAAAGATAAGTAATGAGTTGGTTTAATTATTGTAAAAATGATATTTTTTTAATAGCAAGTAGATTTAGTGTGTAGCATTTGATTTTTTTGCAAAGGCACAAGAAGCACGAGAATTGATTAAAAATCGTGAGTTTAACCTCTATGTATCACGCCATCGCCTGTCTCACCGTACCAAAATTATCATATCTCGGTGAGCTTTCGGAAGTCTGTCAAGCGTGGTCATTGCACGCGTGCTGAACCAGAATGCTATATCATGACAGAATAGAAACAATAGACAACTCCCAAAGGACAAACTCAGCGAAAACGCTTAAAATCTTCAATGTTTACTCAAGTTTGGGCTTGTAGAAGATAATGTCACACTTTTTCAATGTCCATGAAATTCAGAATCCGGGTAGTTAGTTAATCAATTGTGGCCCCGAAAAAATTTGAAGGAAAAAAAACTACGAATTTTTAAGAAAATGCTATTTTCTTGAGAAGGACTCTTAAACGCTGACAAACGTAAACAAATAGCTAAAACTATAATTTCTATATGTTTTCTTTGCTCGAAATCGCGCGCATTTACAACGCCCTAACGCTTTTTGCTGACTTGCAAGGACCCATCTGTTATAACGATCCCCAAAATAAAGGGATGAATCTCATAGTTTATTAGATATAATCGTGTAAAGTTTGCTTATCATTTTCGCATAAATTATGACCTAAATTTGGAAACCGCTGAATTTCTCGAATTGAGTCTTTTGAGCGATTTTGGTGAAACTCTGTTCAGGGCAAGGCACTAATGCGCACTATGTGTAGCCGAGAGATTTTCCCGGAAAAATGCCGGCAACAGCAGATTTTCGACTCAGGCCTCAAAGGGGCGTGGCACTATAACCACGTGACATTTACTCCGATCGCCCAAAATTTTATGTTATAATGTAGATTGATCTATATGTTATCCATTCTATGTGTTAGACTTGCGATAAAAGTAAAGGAAGGGATACCAGAGAGCTTCAAAGTAGGATGATACCGCCCCCAAAAAAGTGGGTCGAGTCATCTTAAGTTGCATGGTCTACGCGGATGACTTGGTCATATTCTCCAAATCAAAAAACGGACTGTAGGATTATTTGGATTCCCTCAGTGAATACTGCAAAGAAAACGACTTGTCGGTTAACCTTAATAAAACTAAGGTGTTGATTTTTAATAACTGCGGGAGAACCATGAATAATCAAGTATTATACTATAGAGGCAGTAAACTTGACAATGTTAGCAATTACAAATATCTTGGCCTACAATTTAGTATTTATGGGACCTTCACGTACGCTAAACAGGAAATAAAGAAGGTTGCCCTTAAAGCTTTGTACAAACTCAGGAAGGAAATGGGCGACCATTTCAGAGACGATGTACAGCTCACAATGAAAATTTTTGACACGGTTATTTCCTCAATACTCACCTACGGAAGCGAGGTCTGAGGGGTCGATCACGACGGAAAACTAGAAAATGATCCAATTGAGTTTGTTCAAACAAAGTTCATAAGATGGCTATTGGGAGTTAACAAATTCTGTAGCTTAAATGCGTACAGATCGGAGGTAGGCCGTTTCCCAATGCGAACGAAGACAAAGTGCAGAGCCATTAAATATTGGCTGAAATTTTGTGAGCGGAGCACCAAAAATTAAAAATTAACAAATTAACAAATTAAAACGACTATTAAATCTCGCAGGTCTTGGCGACATATGGTCAGTGAAAACGAACACTCCCACATCATGAACTATATACGACAGAGACTCTTAGACATAGAACAGCAAACATGGATTACCGAAATACACAATGATCAACGAAAGGACCCGCATCAAAAAAACAAACTAAGAAATTTTAGGAAATTTAAACTTACCCATGACTACGAAAATTACCTCACAAATGTAAGAAACATCAATCATATAGTAGCAATCACAAAGCTAAGATTAAGCAACCACAAACTAGCAATTGAAACTGGACGATACGTTAAACCCTATCAACCACAAGACCAAAGAATCTGTCTATTATGTAAAACTGGAATAGAAGACGAGGAGCATTTTTTGATGAATTGCATAGCCCATAGGGATCCTAGGAGAGAGCTGTTCAATACGCTAAAAAAGGAAACTAATCTTATTCTTGACTCTATGACTCCAAGCTCTGCCTTTGCAACGTTGATAAGTATGAAGCAAGGAGAGAGAACGCAAAAAATTGTGGCTAAATACGTATATGATCGCTTCCGCGAAAGAGATAGATGCGTTAAATATAACCTTGTTTAATAGTTGTATAAATTTTACAAATGTACACCTCTGTAATTATTGCACGAAAATCTTTGTTATCGTTGTAAACACATGTGTCTGTAGGCGCTCTGTTGATAATAAAGCACTTATCCTTATCCTTATCCCATTATTATATCAGGGTCGAGTTTGTTTGTTCTCACCTTCCATACATACACGTACAGATCGACACCCGTGTTTTAATGGTCTGTGAGCTAAGCTGATAGGGAGTATGCAACCTTATTTCTAGTTTAAGAGAACTTCAAATTAGGGTGGCTAAATCTTGTGGGTGAGTGGGTAATAGGTCATGCGTCGTAGGTCGTCGTAAGTGAGTCGTCATCTTTTTGGTGCGCGATTTTAGTTACCAAGAATAAAGTGAGAGCAGCCCATCTCAAATCGGTTTAGTCTCTATGAAAAGTACGTGTTTTCAAATGAAAAAGGGAAAGATTATTTTATTTTCATTTTGAAAGGTTTTGATGCGCCTCGCACAGATAATCTCAGTAGTAACGCGGCAACGATATTGTATGATTGACTTAAAATTGATGCTGCCTTTATGCGGAAAATTGTTTACTATAAAGATCCGATTGCGGACTGGGTATAAAATCAAAGGAGGAATGGGCAAAAAAATGCAAGGGCTAGGAGAAACTACTGACTGGCCGTATGAGAAATGAAACAGGTATAAACTGAAGTTAATTAAGGCATGGGTCCTCAGTTATTAAGTCGAAGAGTGTGGGGGTGGTCTATCTCTCGAT